CTACTATTTGCTCCTGGCACGACCTGGCGTGAGCGCAGACCTTGCCAGCTAAAGGCTGTGTCTCAGCACTTTCTTGGCAAACTGGAAGCTCCCCAGAGTATGTAGTTTTGGGGTTTTGGGAAGTTCCATTAGGCAGGCACAAGATTCCATCCTTAGCTCGTGACACGTGGTCTGTCTTCTCACAGTGGGAAGTAGGCCTGACATATGCAGGTCCCAAGATTTTGGGCCATCCTCGACTGCTTTCCCAGGCCACAAGCAGGGAGCTGGATGGGAAATGGAGCAGCCAGGACATGAACTGGTGCCCAAATGGGATGTTGGCACTTGCAGGTAGAGGATTAGCCAGTTGAGTCACGGTACTGGTTCCTCAAATAAATTGAAAGACAAAGAGAGAAAGAGAAGGGAAGGAAGGAAGAAAGGAAGGAAGGAAGGAAGGAAGGAAGGAAGGAAGGAAGGAAGGAAGGAAGGAAGGAAGGAAGGAAAAAAGAATTAAGAAAAAGAGAACCCAGCCTTGTCCTGCCAAGCCATTCTCCAGTGCTGGAAAAGGCAGTCAGGCAGCAGCACGGAGAACTGCGGACCGTGCAGCGCTCGCCAGCTGGCTGTGTGTCCCAGGGCTTGAGAAGGTGTGAGAGCTGTCAGGGCCACTTTCTGTTCTGTGTGTTGTCCCAGGTGCTGTGAGAGAAGAGAACAACCTGGGGGGCAGTGAGTGACTTAACAGGGCAGTGCCTAGTCCAGCAGGCCAGGGGACCGACCATTGTCAAAATCATCAACTGCAAAACAAGCCTGCTCATGCCGGGTGCGGTAGCCCAGTGGCTAAAGTCCTTGCCTTGCACATGTTGGGATTCTATATGAATGCCAGTTCGTGTCCCAGCTACTCCACTTCCTTTCCAGCTCCCCACTTTTGACCTGGGAAAGCAGATGAGGACAGCCCAAAACCTTGGGACCCTGTACCCGCCTGGGAGACCCAGAAGAAATTCCTGGCTCCTGGCTTTGGATCGGCTCAGCTCTGGCTGTTGCAGCCACTGGGAGTGAGCCATTGGACGGAAGATTTTCCTCTCTCTGTCTCTCCTCTCTGTATATTTGACTTTCCAATTTAAAAATAAAATAAAATAAGTTAAATGGGCCTGCTCTAGATCCACTGGATACCTAGTCCTACCTAAGGCTACCCTGGCCGAACTAAACCCAATGCTTCACGTGGCCCATGGGCTAGGTCTCCCATCCCTGGTCTAAAGGGAAGATGGGTAAGGCCTGATGTAGCAGGTGCCACAAGAGTGCGGTGGGATGTCTGGGATGAACTTCCCCGCCCCCAGGCCTGCAAAAGGAATTGTTCAAAGCCAGGGGGAGGAGTGTGGAGGCCTAGGACCAAGCCCGGACAAAGGCAGGGAAACACCAAGTATTTGAGTAACTCCCCGTGATTCAGTGCCGCTGTTGGGGCGGGGCTGAGTGGGCAGCGCTGAGAGATGGAATTCCAGGTACACGGGCACCAGGTCCCAGGAAACAGAACAGCAACAGGTAGAGCACACACTGATGACTCTGAAGTGGGCCTGGGGCGTGTGGAGGAGGCAGAGGGTGTGTGTGTGTGTGTGTGGCCTGGCAGGTGTTGCAGCTGCCCAGGGCAGTGGGCAGGGACCAGGGAGGAAGATGAGTCAGGACCGGTGCACCAGGGACGCCAGTCAGCTGGAGAGTCGAGGCAGTTCCAGGTATGGACAGCTCTGACCCAGGTCACAGAGAAGCAGGGGCAGCACAGGCTAGAAGTCGGGGTCAGCAGAGCTGGGTCCAGGCCCTCAAAGGAGGGAGGAGCTGGGAAGGCCTCTAAGCAAGAGAGGAGGACTCACACTATGCAGTGGCATATCAAGCTAGTCTTCCACCTGTGGCGCTGGCACCGTTTCCAGTCCCAGCTGCACCACTTCTAAGCCAGTTCCCTGTCAGTGTGCTTGGGAAAGCAGCAGAGGATGGCCCAAACCCTTGGGTCCCTGCACCCTCGTGGAAGACCTGGAGGAGGCTCCCGGTTCCTGCCTTCCAGTTGGCTCAGTTCCAGTCATTGTGGTCATTTGGGGAGTGAACCAGCAGACTGAAGCTCTTTTGCTCTCTAACTCAAGTAAAATTTTTTAAATAAATCTTTTTTTTTAATTATTTATTTTTTTGCAAAGTCAGGTATACAGAGAAGAGAAACAGAGAGGAAAATCTTTCATCCGATGATTCACTCCCCAAGTGACCACAATGGCTGGAGCTATGCCAATCTGAAGCCAGGAACCAGGAGCTTCTTCCAGGTCTCCCACGTGGGTACAGGATCCCAAACACTTGGGTCACCCTCTGCTGCTTTCCCAGGCCATGCAAAAGCAGTTAGATAGGAAGTGGTGCAGACAGGACACAAGCTGGCACCAGTATGGGATGTCAGCACTTGTAGGTAAAGGATTAGCCAACTGAGCCACTGTGCTGGCCTCTAAATTACTTCTCACATGACTGCATCAGCCAGGGCTGTGAGTCAGGCCAAAGCCAGGAGCTACAAATTTCATCCTGGTCCCCCAATGGGAGGTAAGGGCCCAAGGACTTGAGCCATCCTCTGCTGTCTTCCCAGGCTCCTTAGCAGGGAGCTGGATCAGAAGCAGAGCAGCCTGAACAAAAATCTGGACTTGTCTCTGCTTCTATCTTTCCCTCTTCTTTGTATAACTGTAACTTTCAAATAAAAATTTTTAAAGATTTAATTATTTTTAAAAGATTTATTATAGGGCCCGGTGCGGTGGCGCAAGAGGTTAAGGTCCTTGCCTTGCACGCCCGGGATCCCATATGGGCGCTGGTTCTATCCCGGCAGCCCCGCTTCCCTTCCAGCTCCCTGCCTGTGGCCTGGGAAAGCAGTCGAGGACAGCCCAAAGCTTTGGGACCCTGTACCCACGTGGGAGACCCAGAAGAGGCTCCTGGCTTTGGATCGGCATAGCATCGGCCATTGCACTCACTTGGGGAGTGAATCATCGGACGGAAGATCTTCCTCTCTGTCTCTCCTCTCTGCATATCCACCTTTCAAATAAAAAATAATAAAAATAAATCTTTTAAAAAAAAGATTTATTTTAATTGGAAAGGCAGATTTACAGAGATACAGAGAGAAAGATTTTTTGTCTGCTGGTTCACTCTCCAAGTGGCTGCAATTCCCAGAACTGAGCCGATCTGAAGCTACAAGCCAAGAGCTTCTTTTGGGTCTTTCATGTAGGTGCAGGGTCCCAAGGCTTTGGGACATCCTCTGCTTTCCCAGGACACAAGCAGGGAGCTGGATGGGAAGCAGGGCCGCCAGGACAGAAACCAGCATCCATATGGGATCAGGGTGCAAGCAAGGCGAGGACTTTAGCCACTAGGCTACCACACTGGGCCTAGTGTGGTAGCCTAAATTTGTTTTTTAAGCATTAAACAAAGGGATTGAACTGGAAGTTGTAACAAAACAGTCCTCTCATGAGTCCCCAACCCAGAGTAGGAGTGTCCCTACTACACTGGTTCCTTTATAAATATTTATTTATTTTCATCCATAAAAGGCAGAGAGGAATCTTCCTATCTGCTGATTTACTCTTCAAATGACAAGAACACGTTGGGCCAGCCTGAAGTCAGGAGCCAGGGCCTCCATCCTGGTCTTCTTCGTGGGTGCTGGGGACCCAAGCACATCTTCTGCTGCCTCCTAAGGTGCCGGACTCGGTGCTCCAGACTTGACATATGCCTTGCATGTAGCAGCTTGACGCTGGTACCGCCACACCCACCCCACATAGAGGCTCTCATGCCCCTCCATCTTCAGGCCATGCTGACCACTGCCCCTTGTGCTGTGCCATCACTCAACCCAATGTGGACACCTTTGGTAGAGTCATGGAGGAGGGCCCACGGCAATTTCTCCCTTCTGCGCCCTCAAGGCCTCCAGGGTGCAGCTGGATGGGAACCTTGACCCTGCTTTGAAAACCAGGGGCCCCTAGGTGACAACTGTCACCTGTGACAGTGGCTTGTCACTGGTAACAGACCCCACTTGCCATAGGTCACCTCCCATCCCCAGCCAGCACCTCCCGACAGGCAAAGGAGCCAAGGCCCCAGCTTCTCCACCCCAGGCCTTCAGTACCTTGCATGGGGAGACTTCTTTGCAGCGAGGAAATGTCCTAGATCTCTGACCGTCAAATGTCAGTGGCCCAGCCCTCCCTGCCCCCAGCAAAACAGTCAAAGCACTTTCTCTCTGGACACTGCCGACTCACTGCCCTTGTTGAGGATGGGGGAGGGGGACCTGGAGGCTCCTCCATCCTCCATCCTCCCTCCCCAAGGCGCAGACAGATCCTTGAGAGAGCCAAGGCAAGTGGAGGCCACTGAGCAACGAGTTGAGTTGGCTCCTGGCTTCTCAGAGCTGCTGCTCACACAATGCGGACAGCCTGTGCCAGCGGCTCTGCCTGATGTGGTCTCACTCCAGAGGGAGGGACGGAGTTCTCCAGAAGTCTCCAATTCCGGGATTCCCAATCAGTCATGGGGTAGGGGGGGCAGGAAGGACAGAGAAGCTTCTGGGGCAGTGGCCCCCACTTTCCAAGAACAAAGAAGGGGGCGGGGATGAGGGTGGGAAGGTGGTGGGGGTGGAGGGGAGGGGATTCTTTCCTTCTGTAGATAATTTCCTGGCAGGGCTGATTGCTCTGTGGGATTGGTAGAGGGCCAGAGGGGAAGGCCTTTCCAGCTATGATTGCCTGGGTGCCTGGCGGCCATCTGACACTAGGGTACTGGGTACATCTCGATTTTAGGGTCTCTGAAAACTGGGACTTGGTGGGGGAGGGGGAGCTTGCGGGACCCCCCTCCTGGAAATGTGGAAGCTGTGGGTACTTGCCTCTTGGTTGGGGGTAGGATATATGTCTCACCAGGCACCCGCGGCTTGGAGCTGGCGGGACCTGCGGGCAGGCAGAGGATGGCAGAGGGGTGGTGAGAGGAAGGGGCTGTGAGGGAGGGTGGGCAATGGGAGGCCCTAGGGAGGCCGCCCCTCTGCCAGATGCTGACATCACAACTTACTCCACCTGCAGGATGACAATACCAATCAACAAGGCAGCTCCAGAGATGGACAGGAGCAGGATCCTGGCTTCCCAAAGATCATGACTTCCTGGAGGGGTCCCGGGTGTCAGTCAGTGATCTGGGGGACGTGGGCAGGGTGGGATCGCTGGGAGGGGTGGAGGGAGTAGGCAGGACCTGGGTAGCAGCGATGGCGGGGCCAGCAGGGCACCTCGGCAGCCTTGCAGGTGGAGCAGTTGTACAGGATTGTGCTGCCCCCTGCAGGCGACAGCTGGAGCGGCACTGGGCCGATGGCGGGGAAGCCCGGGACGCGCCCCTTCCCGCCGCCCCAATGCCCGGCCGGGCCGCCAGGCCGGGTCTGCAGCCCCGACGGCCCGTCCCCCCCGCCACTTACGGCAGACCGGAGCACAGAGGGCTGAAACGAGACCGGCAGGGGTGCGGTGCATGAGCCGCTGGGCCACCATGCCTCTGTCCTTAAGAGCCTGGCCATCCCTCCCCTGCCCCTCAGCCAGCAGGGCACCTGTACCTTCCCAGATGTATTGAGGGATTTGAGTCTTCTGCAGCCATTGCCAGTAAGGCGGGAGGAGAGAAAGAGACCTTTTGATCTCTGGGGAAGCAGAGAAGCGAGAAATCGCCCTGGACCCCTCCTCCATGACTCTACCACCCTCCCTCCATCTTCATCCCTGCTGCCATCCCCCCTCTTTGGTGTCCTAAGTCCCTCTGTCCTGCCTGTCTTCCCCTTGGCCTCACCGATGACCCTCAGGACCCTGTGAGTCTTCTCTGTGACCTTGTTCATGGTTACCTCATCTGCAGAGGCAGAGCCCAAGGCTAGCGAGGCTCTCACCACCAGCCCAGAGACTTCCCCGCCCCCACTCTCCCAGGGGGAGAAGCTGGGGGTACACCAAGGAGCCCAAGGACATGGGATGGGCGACACAGCCAGGAAGCCACCTGCCACCCTCACCCCCTTGGGAGGTGGAGTGATGGTGGCTGGCCCTCAGCTCTGGTCTCACCCAGGGCAAAAGCTGAGAAGTCTGGGGAGGCCCACTCCTTCCACTGGGGCTCCATCTGGCTGAGGAGCCGAGCCAGTCGGCCTGACAAGTCTCTGTCCGGGAGACGGCAGAAGATACAGGCCTTTGTGGCTGCCAGGAGTACCCCAGCCAGTGCCAGTTTCCACATGAGGCCTGCTGGGGATGGGGGGAGATGGGGAGCAGGCACCACCCTGGGCGTACTGAACCTCCTCCTGCTTCCAGCCCTTTGCTTGGGGACCTCTGGAGTGTTCCAGAACACTTGTGAGTTCTAGAATGTTCCAGAACCGTGTGAGTGCTCATCACTGGGGCACAAGGAAATGGAGTCTGGAAGAAGTGAGAGAGCCAGTATTTTAACCTGGCCGTCAACAGTCCTCATAAGTGTGTGCTTCCAAACGCAATTTTATTAGTTTTTTTTTTTCTTGTCAGTCAAGAGCAGTGATAAATAATGAGTGGCTTCTCCAGTGGAGTTTTGTGTGTGTACTCCACTCATCCACTGGGACCCCCAAATCCCATATCCAACCCCCTGCCCTAACTCCCTCCTTGCCCTAGCCAGCCCCAGGCCTTCCCCAGCATCTCCGAGCAACACTCCATGGGTTGCCTTACTGAATCCCACACAGGCCTGGGAGGCCAGGGGGGAGCCCAGAGACTTCCGGCAGCTCTCACCAGGAAGCTCTGAGTGACTCAGACCCCAGCAGGCCCCTCCTGCTGACCTGAGGAGGCAAGCGCGTCAACACACACACACAAACACAAACACACGCCCTGTGATTAACCCAGGAAGCTGCTTACAGACACACCTGCATCTGGCAGTGGTGAGGCGGCCCCAGCGGGCCTGGGCTTGTAAGACCACAGGCTGCCTATCATGGAGCCTGGAGTTGGCTGCGGGGACCCACACGTCTAGACAGTGCGCTGGCTGACATGCACGCTCGCACGCACGCTCACCGGAAGGCAGAGCAGGACCACGTCTTCTTCCCCTCCCCGTATCCCAGTCAGCCGGCTCTATCATCATTATGGGATCTTGGAAGCAAGAACTTCAGGGCCCTTCAGGGCCCAGGTGGTGGTGGGGGCTCCAACCCCATTGCTAATGGGGATTCTCCTAGCCCCTCTAAGCCAGCCTAGAGTGGAGTGTGGCCCTTCTACCTCCTTCTGTAGGCTGAATTGGGATACAGCAGAGAGCCTGCCTTCCCAGTATTCCAGAATGTTCAGACCTTCCAACCCAAGTTGAGTTCCTCCAGGAGCTGCCTGGGCACAGAGAGGCTGTCTCCTTTTGCCCAGACCCATGGGAGATGCTGAAGGTGCCCAGCCTTCGGGCCAGAAGCAGCCCGAGGAAACATTCCTGCCCCGCCCAGGGTCAGCACCACTGGTCCATACCCTAGTGCTCCTCCTGAGTGCTCAGCAGGCTCCCGCCCACATCCCCGCTCCAAGCAGGTACAGCAGAACCACCTCACGGCTCCAGAGGAGGAGGGGGGCCTTTTCCTTTCCATGGCCGCCTGTTTCTGTCCCTTCCCGCAGAGTTCAGGGCTACCGTCTTCAGTGCCGGATGAATCGCAGAGAGCGGGAATTGAGCAGGTCTTCGGGGTCAGGGAAGACAGAGTCCAGCCGGAAGCCGTGCTCCAGGGCCACCCGCAACACCTCTTCCAGGAAGCTCGACGCGCCCACCACCTCCCGCGGGTTCCCTGGTCCCCCGGTCCACAGTGGCTGCAGCCCCAGTCTTCCATACTCAGCTTCGGGGAGCTCTGCCGGGCGAGGGGCCCATTCCAGGTGGAAATGTGGGCCTCCCTCCCCTGCCCTGTCCGCCTCAGCTACTCCAAATCGGGCCCGTAGGGCGCCCAGACACTCAGGGTCGGTGCAGAAGAGGTTGGCCCGGAAGGTATCCACCTGCACAGAGCTCAGCTCGTAGTGGTGCGGACCCCTGCGGGCAGAGAAGTGCACCAGGCGGGGGCTGCCGTCCACGTCGGCATGCAGCAGGGCGGCTGTGGGGGCCGGGGTCCCCCGAGAAGTCTCTAGCTCCCGCAGGGCATCCAGGAGGGGCCGGATCTGGTAGAAGTCGGCTTCAGCTTTGAGAAGTGCAGTTTCTCCATAGCCACGGGGTAGGTCCAGGCGGCCCAGGCGCAGGAAATTGAGGATGTGGCGGAAGGCCTTGCCATCCCTATCGATGAAGTACTGGCCCCCTCCTTGGGGGCTGAGGCTGGCCGGCAGAGGAGTGTCCGCCCTGAACATGGCCCCCAGCATGGAGTCTGGGAAGCGGGTGAGGGTCTCCAAAGTGGTGGAGTACAGTGTACCCCCCACATTCAGGGTCACTGGGCCCCCAAAGGAGGGGGCCGGGGAGGGTACGGGAGGAGGGGAAATTTTGGGGGTACAGAAGATACCAGAAGGAGAAGGGAAGGAAGAACTTTTGGGGGTGTGCGTGTAGAAAATTGGGTGATGACCGTCAGAACTGGCTGGAGATGCAGACGCGGGTACAAGGTGGTGAAGTGTGGGGCTCACCCCTACTTCCCTGGTGGGGGTGGAGGGCTGTCTTCCAGCACAAAAGTTCTGGAAAGACGGAGAGAAGGGATGAGAAGAGCGCAGTCAGGGAGGGGGAGGCAGCTTTCCTGGCGGTGACAGGCGATTCCTCCGAGATCTTCCAACAGTGGCTTTGCAGAATCCAATCAGCAGGTGACAGTGGTGAGCTTGGGCCAACTCTTGGAAGGGCTCAGCTTCCGAGTTCCTGGGCAGATCGATGTCGCGGTAGTTGAGTCCAGGCAGGGCCGGTTGGAGGCCTGGCTTGGCTCCGGGCACGGGTCCCAGGGGATGGAGGCAGAGGAGCGGACCAGAGCGGATGTATGGGTTTGGAGGTAAGCGGGCAACGAGGCTCCGTCTGAGCTGGGAGTGTCCCAAGGAGCTTCTGGAAGCAGGCAGAGGCTCCGCATTCGGTGCCGCTGGCCTCTCTCTCTGCGGCCGAGGTCCTCTCCGCCCCCAGGAAGTGGCCTAAGGGCAGCGGCCCAGGGCTCTTTAAGGCCCGGCCCCGCCCCGGCGCCCCGCCTCCCGCCCCCGTGCCCGTCCCCACCGGGCTGGAGGCGGGAGCCGCGAGAAGCCGGCGACCGGAGCGACGGGGCGGACGGGCTGGACCGGCCGGCGGCCCGAGCCGGGTGACTCAGGCGCGTCGGCCCGGATGCGGCCCCGCCAGGTGTGCCCGACCTCACGTCTGCGGCCTGGGGCGGCCGGGGCCTTCCATCCCGGCCCTTCGATCCCGCCCGCCAGGCCGCCAACCGGCCCCGGAGGGAATGCCCGCGGGGGCGGGTGCTGAGCCGCCGGATTCCGGGGATGCCTGCTCCTTGCACCCCGTAAAGCAAGGCCGGACCGGTCGGCCACAGCGTGGCCTGAGCTCCAGGGCCTCACCCCATCCCCGCCCGCAGTGGCCCCAACCCCCTCCCGGGCCCGCGGGTGGCACCCAATAAGCTCACTCCCAAGGCAGCGCCAAGAACCGATGCTTTAATGGGGCAGGGGCCGGCAGCTGGGGGTGGGGAAAGGGGCCCTGGAGGCCTTGGGCGGGGGTAGGGCAGGGGATCAGAGCGTGTGGAGGTCATGACTCCGCCGGCTCAGCTTCTCCGGGTCATCTGACGCCATGAGAGAGAAGTCACGGAAGATGTCGAGATAGGTCTCATCTCCTGGAAGGGATGGAGAGAGGCTGGGGAGGCCACGCGGCTCTGCCTGCGGGGCAGCTGGCACTGGGCTGGTCCAAACCTGCTCTTCAGGAGAGGGTAGGGGAAGCTCATACTCCCTCGTGCTGGGGAGGGGTTGGGGAACTGGGCCAATACAGATGTGTGTTGGAACCAAGTGTCAGGATCCACCAATGCAGGCAGTCACCAGGGAGGGGCGTGGGGCCTGGGCCGAGTGGATAACTTTACCTGCCTGGCCCTGGGCAGCTTCGGCCTCTCTCATCTTTGCCAACCTTAGCCTGAAGGAGAGGGAATTCAGGAATGAAGAGCTTTCCTTCAGCCCCCCACCCCCACCCTAGCTACCCATCCTTGGAGTTGGCGTTATGTGGCATTCCTAGAGCATCAGAGATGTCTGCCCAAATGTGGCTCCCTGGATGTCAGCTGCTAGAATGAGCTTCCTCAGATCCTGCTGGTCCCCGTTCCTGGTCCACTCCCCATGCTACCATAGAGCATCCTTCCAGGCTCTGGTCCCACCTGCGCCGGCCCCACCCCAGTAAGTAGGCTAAGGTAGGCCAAACACTAGCCCTGCCCCTCAGACGCTCTCACAGGGTGACGATGTCAGCGTTGGCTGTTTCCATGGCGATGGTCAGTGGGTCTTTGCCTTCCAAGTCCCGGGCCCCCAGATCGGCCCCCCGTTTCAGGAACAGGCAGGCGAGCCTAAGGCAATAGCCATGTTCAGAGGAGGCACTTGGGCCAGCTTGGCTGAGGAGCCTCCCTCTCCCAGGGGCTGCCATCCCTACCCGGTGTGGCCAAGTATGGTAGCGTGGTGGAGGGGGCCCCGGCCTGCACTGTCTGCTTGGTTCACACTGGCCCCGTTCTGCAGCAGGAACTCGCAGGCCAGCAGTGAATTCTGGATCAAGAAGTGGACAGGACAGGTTAATGGGTGTGTTTGTGTTAGGGGTAGATTCCGAGATATTTCAGGGGGTGGGGTCGATTCAGGGTGAGATGGTGGGGTGTGGTAAGCAACTACGTGTCAGACTTGACTTAAACTCAGTTGTCAAATCCAGAGCACACAGAGGTTAGTAACTTGTCCGGCCTGGACACCAGCTCAGGCTCTGCCTCCGAATCACACACTCTCAATTCCGTCTTGCTGATCTGGCCCTGCAGGCCAGGGGTGGGGCAGGAGGGATGGGAGTAGTAGTCAGAGGAGCCTAAGGGTGCCTGGGGGGTTCTGCATGGCTCTTACAGCAGCTGTGGCCTGGATCAGGGGTGTAGCATTCTCGTGCCCCCCGTTGACCCAGTTGACGTCCGCTCCATGGGCAAGGGCATCGGCCATGGTGGGAAGGGATGGAGGGTGGCCGGCGGCTCGGAACAGCAAGGCACCTGGGTGTAGGCTTCCCAGGTCATCAGAGGGGGGCTCTGTAAGGGGGAGTGAGTTCTGAGTCTCGAGAGAGGACCCTCTCCACAGGTTCTCCCTCTGCGCTGTGACGGGAGGGGCAGGATTGTGGAGGGCGATGGAAGGGTCTGGGTGTGGGCGTGCCAAAGTGCGCGCGTGGCTTGGTGCACGGTCAGCATGACTCAGTGCGTCCTGGCCCAGGCCCTGGCTGGTTGGGTGTCACAGGTGAGACAACCAGCCACACTCCCATCCCAGGCTTGCTCATGCTCCACACTCCATCCCATTCTCAATGCCCCTCCCCACTGTGACCCCTGAAACCACAGTCTGGTGTCCCCCACCACACACACAGAGGTCCTGGCACCATGCAGAGCACACAGCAGGTGCTCAATGCTTGCCTGGCCAGCCCTATATACCTGGCTTGGATCTGAAACTCCCTGACTGGGGCCTGATGAGAGGCTTTGGGGGTACAGGAGGATGTCCCCTGGGGGTTCCCCGGCTGATTCTTCGTCCTCGGATCTCAGGAAGCTTGGTCAGGAACTTCTTTTCCACATATTTGGCGTGAATCCAGGCTTCCTTCTCCTGCCTGGCGGGGGAGGAGAGGATGGGGCAGGGTGTTCATTCCCATCCCATGTTCTCCCTCCTCTCCCACTGTGGAGGTGAGCCCCTCCTCACCGGGAGCAGCTGGGCCCTGGCTTCTTCACGGCCATGGCCTCCACACGGGCCTCATAGATCTGGTTGATGACCACGTTTCCCAGCTCACACATGAGCTGCAGGCGGCCGAGGCAGAGAGGGGCTAGGGGTTCAGTATTCCAGGAGAGGGGGGGCCACCCCACTTCCACCCTTGCATTAGCCCAGGCTACCTTCACCAGTTCCGGTTCCCAGGAATCCAGAGTCAGAGACCGGACTTTGGAGAAATGAACCCCAAGGCTCCTGGGGGGCAAGAAGGGACAGCGTCAGGCTCTCCTGGCTCAGAGGCAAGGGCTGCCTGGGGGCCACGCAGGGATGCTGTGGCCCTGGCACCTCCACCCACTTATGCCTGGTCCCCAACCTCCTTCCCCTTCTTTCCTGTGTCTCAATATTAAGGCCCTAAACTATCCTCTTCCCTCAGGACACTCTGTCCTACCTACCTCCTTTCAGCAGACCACCAACCAGGATAGAGACCACCAACCAGGATAGAGACCACCAACCAGGATAGAGACTACCAACCAGGATGGCCAGGGCCTCAGGGCCACACCACCTCCATCTCCTCAGCTCCCCTACCCCCACCCCAATGCTTCCAACCAAGCCAATCAGCTCCTCTGAGTGTCTCCTGCCTCTGGCCACACCAGGACACTGAGGCACTGGGCCACCTGGGGTCTCCCTCTGGCCCTCCCACGTGGGGCCCAGGGCAGTAACCTGTGGATGCCAGAGCACTGGATACAGAGGGTGACGCCAAGGTTGATGCTGGCCCACTCAGGAGCCGGTTCCCGGCAGTCACAGCACTGGGCGTTGCCATCCACACTCTGCACCTGGGCTGCCACCTGCCCTACTCCTCCAGGCTCCCTTCCTCTGGCTGTTCCACCAGAGCCCAGGGTGGCAGCAGAGCCCATGGCCAGGTATCCTGAACCCTAGTGTGGGGGGCGGACAAAAAGAAAACTCACACAGGCAGGGTGAAGGGGTGGCCCTAGTTCCCGGGGTGAGCCGGCTCTGCCTTCCGCACAGGAGGTTACCTGGCCTTGCCCCCTGGGGCTGTCTTCCAAGCGAGCCTGGCTGAAGGCGGAGGCGATGCTGCTCTGCACGGCGCTGACCCACAACTGCAGCAGGCGCTCCGAGTCAGCCTGGAGGAGGCAGGACCTGAGGGGGAGAGGGTAAGTGGGAGACAGAGGGAAGGCTGGCCAAGTGAAATGCAGACACCCCCTGCCCCCACCTCACTACACCAGGACTTCTGAACGTGAGCTTTTCTATGGTGCAGTGGCACACCCATCCAGCAATGCGGGGTTTGGCCTTCAGCACGGTATTCAATCAATTACAGGAGACACTCTGCCCTGCTCACTTTCAGCTTACTTGGAGGTAGGAGATAGCACCTAGATGTAGGCCAAGCTGTGATGCCCCAGTCCAGCGTACTGAATGTATTTCTGGCTTCAGGCATTTTCACCTGATGCTGGGTTTATCAAGGCAGAGCCTCAGAGTAAACGGAGAAGTACTGTCCTCCTCCATACCCTCTCCTCTCCCCTATCCCTTCCCCAGGGTCTCCTGGGCAGCCACTGAGGGCTGAAGGATGGAAGCTGTGTGTGTGGGGGGGGAAGCACCACTGTGACCAGTTGTGCCTTGCTGGATGGTAAATATTTCGACTTCATGGGACACCATGGGCCGACACTCACTTGCTAGTGGATACCACTTCAAAGCAAAACCGCCTCTCAGAGTCTGGGCAGAGCTTCACGGTGCAGAGTCGGAGGTCATCCACCACCACAGTCACTGGGTCCTGGCAGGAGCAGGTGACCAGGGACAGGTGTCCAGCCATGTGCAAGGGCTGGGCTTCCCAGAGTGGCAGTCAGCCGGTAACTGGGTCTACCCACCTTATACTTCTTCTGGTAAACCAGCTGGTTGCTCTGAATGGTGAACCAGCGTCTGTAGGGAACAGAAACAGGTTGTGAACCCAGAAGCCTCGGGATGGGGACGGGGGTGAGGGGAAGAGGAGGAAGGGCTGGGCCCTTTGCCCCCTAAGAGATTTGCAGAGGAGAGATCTGGGCTGACCGTCCCAGGAGACATTCCCGAGAAGGGGAGATGGCTGTGCAGAGTGGGATTCAGCTGCTTTATTTAAGAGGACAATTCTCCAGCAGATGGCAGTAAAATGCCTTTTGTAACTGAAGGAATCTGTTGGTGGGGGAGGACTGCTGTGGTCCTGAGAGTTAAGCCTCCACCTGCGACACAGCATCCCATATGGGCTCTGTGCTCCAGCTGCTCGGCTTCCCATTCAGCTCCCTGCTAAGAGCCTGGAAAAAGCAGCTAAAGACGGCCCCAGTGTTTAGGCCCCTGAAACATGCGTGGGAGACCTGGAAGAAACTCCAGGTTCTGGCTTCCGTCTGGCCTAGCCCCAGCAATTGCAGCCATTTGGGGAACGAATCAGCAAATGGGAGAACTCTCTCTCTGTCTCCCTCTCTGTAACTCTGCCTTTCAAATAAATAAATCTTTAAAACGAAGGAGTCTATTGCTGCCATTTTCTCCCTTATATGGCCAGGGGGCAAGGCAACAGCAGAGCTAGTTGGCTGCCAGGTGAATTTCGGCATCCAGCTCGCTGGGCCAAGGGATGCCCAGGGAGCTGGACGTGTGCTCTGAGGTGGCCTGTGGAGATCCACAGCCTGATCAGAACAGTGGCCGCAGTTTGGAGGGGTTTCACTGCCCCAAGATTCCATAGGGGTTAGCTATGGTCATGGGATGGGAAGGAATCAAGTCAGAATGTGTCAGCACTCAACCACAAACCCCAGGGGTTCCCCATGCCCCTCAGACTGGACCCCAGGTCCCTACAAAAGCCAACAAGGTTCTACAACGATGCACATCCCCAACAGCTCAGTTTCTTCCTCCTTCCCTCTATCCAAGTTGTGCTGGCACTCTCTTCAGCCTAGAACATTCTCCAATTACCTTTGAGCCTTTGCTCAAAGCCAGCCTCCCACGACGCACCATTACCCAGCTTTGCCAGCCCCTTGCTTGCTCTTCATACATTACACACAGCCGGCCTCGGCACCAGGTTTCCTGTCTGCCCTAACTGAGGGCCTTTGGTCTGCTCTGCCTCGCTGAGCGAACTGTCGCCTGGGTGCACCCGACCGCAGCGGCCCCTCACCTGCTCCAGGTCTTGAACGCATTGCTGGCACGTTTGAAGAGATGTCCTTCCATGACCAAGCCACCAGGCCCCTGCTTCAGGGTCGGCTCTGGCTCCTCCCCACCCAGTTCCTGCGGAGACGCAGAGGTGAGAGATAACCGGAGTGGGCCATGGACAAAGCCAGCAGGGCTCTGGACTTCCCACGCTCTCACCTTCTGTTTCAACAGCACATGCCGCTGTTCCATGTCCCTCCGCTCTCGTGCTGAATTCAAGACCAGCTGGTGCAACTGAGCACAGAGGGGGTGTCTCAGACACCTATGTGTGCTCCAACCTCCCTCTACCACCTTCCTGCCCCGCTGGGTCCCACCTGAGCACCCAGTTCCTTGCGATACTGCGCCAGCCGGCTCAGCTCCTCATGGCCCTGCTGGAAATGGGTGGCCTGGGCTTCCACCAAACGCAGCACCTGCAGGACAAGGCGGGCAGGGAAAAGGCTCCCCTCCCTCCCTCTGTCCACCTTGCCCTCTCTGTCCACCTTGCCATGGCCACTACCACAACTCACAAATTCCATGATGTCAAACTTCCTTTTGTCTTCGATCACATTGATCTGAGGGCCCCAAAAGACCTCAATTCAGTCTTGAAATCAAGGCACTCCCCACCCCCTAGCCTGGGATGACAGGTTGGGGCAAGCACCTGCAGAGCATAATCCAATGCCCGTCCCTGGTACCCAGCTCGAGCAGTTCTCAGAGCCGCCCCCGCCTCTTCAGCCTCCTGGGCCCGGCGCCTGGGCACCTCCGCGTTGTGGGTCAGGGCTGCCTCCAGGCTCTCAGCCCCTCGCCAAAAGTCTCGCCTAGCCTCCCGGAAACCACGAAGACCTCTGAGGGTGGTGGGGGAAACACCTGGGATCACAGAGGTGCCTACCTGCTACCCGCCCTAGCCAGGAATGCCCAGGATGAGCCTGCTCTGTCTGGTGGGACATGGAAGGGGCTCCCTGGAAGGAGAACAGGGCCGTAGGACACTCCCCGACCCCATCCCCATGCCACAACTCTCATTCAGGGAGGCCTGCTGGTGACAGCAAGAGGGCTGGAGGGAAATAAGCCCCCTCCCCTCTCACTCCTTGACCAGGGTCTGGATTTGCTGCTGTAGCGTGTGCTGAGTGGCATCCAGAAGCTCCTAGGGAAGGCAGAATTTTCAGGTGAAGGTGAGGACCACACACACAGCTTGGCCCTGACCTCTGTATAGCTCCTTCCTTCCCCTACTCACTGCGTGGCTGTCCAGTTTGTGGCTCAGGCTCACGGTGAATTTGTCCAGGCACTCCTGGGCAAGAGGAGAGATGTAGAAAGTACCAGGTATGGGGTGGAAAATCCCTGCATTCCAGAATCCCTTCCTACAGGGTGGTCAGACTGGGTGGTGGCTACTCATCCCAGTCCCTAGCCTCCCCTTCTCCTCCCTGGGAACAGCCCTTCCACATACCGCCATCATGGGCTCCGGTGGGCCCAGGCGGGCCAAGTCACAAATGCCAGCAATGAAGGCCCGACTGGAAGCAAGGTATTGGCGCCCACTCTCCAGGAGCCCAGTGCCCAGCTTGAGGAGCTGGGAGAGAACAAGGCCAAGCAGCAGGTGTGATGTCAGCAGTGACACCCGTGGTCTTCCCTTGCCCAGGGTCCCACCCCTCCTTCCCGACCTTGCCTGCCTCACTTCCAGCAGGACCCAACTGTCTCCACTCCTCACCCATACCTCATCTGTTCCCATCTCTGCCACTTGGCCCCTGTTGCCCACTGCTCCCATCTTGTCTCCAAGACCACTGTCAACTCAATCTCAGAAGTCCTTCCTGTGTCTCGCCCTGGCCTGGCTGCCTGCCAAGACCCAGAGTGGCCCATGCACCACCTGCTCTTGTCTGGCTACACATAGCATCTGGAAATCTCTGTGTGATGGATGTTCCATGTCTTCCTCAGCTTTACTGAGTAGGGTCACAAATTTTTTTGTGTGTGTCAAATTAAGGTACATTAGGTATGCATGAGTTAACATGAGCATGATAAATAAATGTCAAATAAAATAATGTTGGCCAGCAGAAAAATTAAAAAAAAAAAAAGGGCAAAAGGGGCCATCCGGTGTGTGTTCAGAAAACCTTCCCTTGTACTCACTGGACCTCTAAGCCCCAGCATCAGGGTCAAGGCAGGAGGCCAGGGTGTGCGCCTGGAGTCCATCCTGTGTGGTCTCTTCAATGGACAGAGAGATCTGATAAACTGGGGGGCGGGGACACACAAGGCTAGGAGAAGCAGGTGGCTGAGCCAGGATGCAGCTTCTAGGCCCCTAGACCTCGTGACCTGCAGGGCTGTGACACAGTGCCCCTGCAGGCACGTCTCACCAGACACAGCAACCATCCGTGGAGGTCCTGGTCTCAGCAGGGAGAGGGCAGGAGCTCAGCAAGCCTGGGCTATGACAGCCTCCCTGCGCTGCTGCTAAGCCTACAGGTGTGTTTTGGGGCTTATGGAAACTTCCAGGAACCACAGCCTTCTAGCGAAGGAGGCTCTGTCAGGACGCTGAGCGAGATGCAAGCTTCCAGTCAGTGGTAAGGCATACCCAACACACACTGTGTAGAGCCAGAGCTCTTGTTCCTCATCAACCCAGGTCCTGCTGTACGCAAGCCAGGAAGTTTCCTCAGGCAGTGCTCCCACATGGTGGAGCAGTACTCACCCAGACAACGGAACAAACTACGGACACATTAAATGACACAGAAAAGCTTCAGAAGCATTGTTCTCAGGTGTAGGGGCAGCCAATTCTTTCTTTTTTTTTTTTTTTTGAAGGTTTATTTATTTTTATTGGAAAATCAGAGAGAAAGATTTCCGTCCGCTGGCTCATACACCAGGTGGCTGCAATGGTCAGAACTGAGCTGATCCAAAGCCAGGAGCCAGGAGCTTCTTCTAGGTCTCCCACACAAGTGCAGGTTCCTGAGACTTTGCACTGTCCTTGACTGCTTTCCCAGGCTACAAGCAGCGAGCTAGCTGGGAATGGGACTGCCAGGACACAAACTGGCGCCCATGTTTGATCCCAGCACGTGTAAATTGAGGACTTTAGTCACTAGCCTACTGCATTGGCCCACGGCCAATCCTTTTAAAAAGATTCTTTATTTGAGAGGCAGAGTGACAGAGACAGGGCGGTTGGGAAAACAGAGAGGACGTTCACACCCCAAATGGCCTCCACAGCTGGGGCTGGGTCAGGCTGAAGTCACAGACCTGGAACTCCATCCAGGTCTCCCCGTGGGTGGCAGGGGCCCACCTGGGACTCACTTGGCATTACAAGTGGTGGCCTCACCAGCTGTGTCACATAACACATTTAGGAGTGCCTGGTTCGAGTCCTGTCTCCTTTCCCTCTGATCCAGCTTCCTGTAAAGGTGCCCCCCAGAAGGCAGCAGACAGTGATTCAAGCCCTTGGGTCCCTGCCACCTGTAGAAGGAGTCCTGACTTCAGCCTGGCCGAGCTGGCTGCTATGGCCATTTGGGGAAGTGAACCCATAGATGAAAGATCTTTAGCTGTGTTTCTCTGTCTTTCAAACAGAGTGAAAATAAATAAAAAGATAACTGAATAAACAGCCTTTTTGGAAGGCCACATACAAGGGCCAGTACAGTGGTTTAATAGGCTAATCTGTCTGCCAATGCCAGCAGTTCACACGGGCCTCCACTTCCAATCCAGCTCCCTGTTAATGACTTAGGAAAGCGACAGAAGATGGTCCAAGTCCTTGGGCCCTTACGCTCATCTGGGAGACCCAGAAGAAGCTCCTGGCTCCCAGGTTCAGACTGGCTCAGCCCTGGCTGTTGCAGCCATTAAGGAAGTGAATCAGCAGATGGAAGATCTATCTCTCCCTCCCTCTGTGTAATTCTTATTTTCTAAGTAAAATAACATTTTTTTAGAAAATATTTTAGAGGTCTCATACAACATGATTCAATTTCTACATTCTAGAAATTACAAAGCTATTGGGAAGCAATTGGTGGTCACCGTGGACTACAGAAGGGGGAGGCGTGGTTGAGTCCCTCTGTGCTGATAGGAATTTTGTACTTGTAGTAGTAATGGTCACACATGTGGGAAAGCACCATAGAATTCCATACAAAGGGGTCCAGCTTGGTAGCCTAGTGGCTAAAGTCCTCGCCTTGCATGCATTGGAATCCCATATGGATGCCAGTTTGTATCCCGGCTACTCCACTTCCCATACAACTCCCTGCTTGTGGCCTGGAAAAGCAATAGAGGATAGCTCAAAGCCATGGGACTTATAAAGGAGACCCAGGAGAAGCTCCTGGTTCCTGGCTTTGGATTGGCTCAGCTCTAGCCATTGTAGCCACTTGGGAGTAAACCAGCAAATGGAAGATCTTTCTGTTTCTCCTTCTCTGTAAATCTAATAAAAATAAATCTTAAAAAAAAATCCATACAGAGAAGAAAAACAGCATTAACCAAATACACAGAGTATGTGTACTTTACTGTGCAGCGTTCTGTGCAAATACTAATTTCCTGCCTTGGGTGAAGCCCTGGAATTATGCAAAGATGTCTCCACTGGAGGAGCTGGGTGAGAGGCACACAGAATCTCTCTCCTTATTCCTGCCAAGTCTATAAGGTACTCAAATTACTAAAATCAGACACAGGGTCCCACACTATGATTCATTTGGCTAATCCTCCCCCTGCAAGCTCCAGGATCCCATGTGGGTGGCGGATTATTGTCCTGGCTGCTCCACTTCTCATCTGGCTCTCTGCTTGTGGCCTGGAAAAAGCAATGGAGGATGACCCACAGCCTTGGAATGAATCCTGCAGCTGCATGGGATACCTGGAAGAGGCTTTTGGCTTCTGGCTTTGGACTGGCCCCGTTCCAGCTGTTGCAGCCATTTGAGAACTGAACCAGCAAATGTAAGAGCTCTCTATAAATTTCCTTTTTTTCTTTTAAGATTTATTTATTTTATGTTGGAAAGTCAGATACACAGAGAGGGGAGATAGAGAGGAAGATCTTCCATCTGTTGATTTACTCCCCAAGCAGCCACAACAGCTGGAGCTGAGCCGATGCAAAGCCAGGAGCCAAGAGCTTCTTCCGGGTCTCCCACTTGGGTGCAGGGTCCCAAGGCTTTGGGCCATCCTCAACTGCATTCTCAGGGCACATGCCAGGAGCTGGATGGGAAGTGGGGCCACTGGGATTAGAACCGTCACCCATATGGGATCCTGGCATGTTCAAGGCAAGACTTTTTTTTTTTTTAATATTTATTTTATTTTTGGGCCCAGCACGGTGGCACAAGTGGCTAAGGTCCTCGCCTTGCAAGCCCGGGATCCCATACGGGCACCGGTTCTAATCCCGACAGCCCCGCTTCCCATCTAGCTCCCTGCCTGTGGCCTGGGAAAGCAGTCGACAAAGCTTTGGGACCCTGTACCCGCGTGGGAGACCCAGAAGAGGCTCCTGGCTTCGGATCAGCATAGCATCGGCTGTTGCACTCACTTGGGGAGTGAATCATCGGACGGAAGATCTTCCTCTCTGTCTCTCCTCTCTGTATATCCGCCTTTCCAATAAAAATAAAATAAATCTTAAAAAAAAAAAGGAAAAGAAAACTAAACATTATTTTAAAGATTTTTATTTTTATTATTTTTTCATTGGAAAGGCGGATATACAGAGAGGAGAGACAGAGAGGAAGATCTTCCATCCGATGATTCACTCCCCAAGTGAGCGCAACGGGCCGATACTATGCCGATCCGAAGCCAGGAGCCTCTTCTGGGTCTCCCACGCGGGTACAGGGTCCCAAAGCTTTGGGCCGTCCTCGACTGCTTTCCCAGGCCACAGGCAGGAAGCTGGAAGGGAAGCGGGGCTGCCGGGATTAGAACCGGCGCCCATATGGGATCCCGGGCGTGCAAGGCGAGGACCTTTAACCACTTGCGCCACCGCGCCGGGCCCTAAACATTATTTTAAAAAAGGATTTATTTTATTCACTCCCCAGGGCGGCCGCAATGGCTGGAGCTGAGCCAATCCGAAGCCAGGAGCCCCTTCCAGGTCTCCCGCGCGGGTGCAGGGTCCCAAAGCTTTGGGCGTCCTTGACTGCTTTCCCAGGCCACAGGCAGGGAGCTGGAAGGGAAGCGGGGCTGCCGGGATTAGAACCGGCGCCCATATGGGATCCTGGGCGTGCAAGGCGAGGACCTTAACCACTTGCACCATCGTGCCAGGCCCCAGGCAAGACTTTAACCACTACACTATCGTGCCGGGTCCTGTGAGTTTGCCTTTCAAATAAATAAATTAAAAAATAATTCTAAGCAACCTAGAAGAGGTCCTTCTGCCACTTACGTTGTAGTAGGTGAAAAACATACCAAAAAAAAAAAAAAAAGCTGGTGGGGGGAGAAAGCTGCTGGGAGTTATCACAGTGGTTAAGCCACTGCCTAGAACACCCATCCCACATCAGTGCCCAGTTCAAGTCCCAGCTCCTCCACTTTGAACCGAGGTCCCTGCTAATGGGAAACAGCAGATGATGACTCAAGTAGCTAGTTCGGTTCCTCCCACCCATGCATGATCCAGATGGAGCTCCAGGCTCTTGGCTTAAACCTGGCCAAGCTCCAGCTGTTATAGGCATTTGTGACCAGCAGACGGAAGACCTTTCTCTATGCCTTTTTCTTTTTCTCGCTGTAAAATCTGCCTTTCAGGGCCTAGCACAGTAGCCTAGCAGCTAAAATCTTCACATTGTACGCGCCAGGATCCAATATGGACACCTGTTCGTTCCCAGAGGCCCTGCTTCCCATCCAGCTCCCTGCTTGTGGGCTGGGAGAGCAGTAGAGGATTGCTCAAAGCCATGGGACCCTGCACCTGTGTGGGAAACCCAGCATAAGCTCCTCGCTCACGGTTTCTAATTGACTTGGCTCCAGCTGTTGCAGCCACTTGGGCAATAAATCAGCAGATGGAAGATCTTCCTCTCTCCTCCTCTCTGGATACCTGACTTTCCAATAAAAATAAATAAATCTTTTAAAAATAAATTAATCTGCCTTTCAAATAAAAAAATCTTTTAACAAATATATTTATTTGAAAAGCAGAAAGACAAGAGACCAAGAGTAAAAGAGAAAAAGGTCTTCCATCTACTGGTTCACTCCCCAATGATTGCAACAGCTGAAGCTTCTTTCTGGGTTTCTCTTATGTGTGTAGGGGCCCAAGACTCTGGGTCATTCTCTCCTGCCTTCCCCGGACATAAGCAGACAGGTAGATAAGAGTGGAGCTGCCAGGACACAAACCAGTGCTCATAGGAGATGCCAGCACTGCAGGTAGAGGATGAGCCTGTTATACCACTGTGTCAGCGCCATTAAATATATATACTATATACTACATATGAATATATATACTACATATATGTGTGTGTGTGTGTATACATATTATAGTTTTATTGGAAAGGCAGATTTACAGAGGAGAAACAGAAAGATCTTTCACGTGCCAGTTCACTCTCCAAGTAGCCACAATGGCTGGAGCTGAGCCAATCTGAAGCCAGGAGCTTCTTCCATGTCTCCCATGCAGGTTCAGGGTCTTAAAGCTTTGGGCTATTCTGTCCTGCTCCCAGGCCGCAAGCAGGGAGCTGGTGGGAAAGTGGAGCAGCCGAGACATGAACTGGCACCCATATGGGATTCTGGCACTTGCAAGGCAGCCATTGTGCTGAGCCCCTTCAAATACATTTTCTAAAGATTTATTTTACTTGAAAAGCAGGTTCATAGAGAGCAGACACAAAGAGAAAGGTCTTCCATCTACTGGTTCACTCCCTAAATAGCTACAATGGCCAGAGCTGAGCTGACCGAAGCCAAGAGCCAGGAGCTTTTTTAGGGTCTCCCACAGGGGTGCAGGGTCCCAAGCCTTTGGGCTATCCTCTACTGCTTTTCCAGGCCACAAACAGGGAGCTGGAGGGGAAGTAGAGCAGCCGGGACATGAACTGGCACCCATATAGGCTGCTGCCACTACAGGGTGGAGGTCACCTATTGAGCCATGGCACTGGCCCCAAATAAAGAGCGGCTGGGAGGCAGGGAGGATGACAGGTGTATAAACACAGACAGAAGGTATCGGTGCTGGGGTTCTGCAGCACAGCGGGGCAAGCACAGCTCACGGTCACGCATCCTACATTGCACGGAGAAGAGAGGCAGTGGTGGGCACTCAACAAAGAGAAGAGATACTGTGGTGGAAATGCTAGTTGGCTGACTTGACCAGAGTTCAGTGTTTATATGTGCTGATATGCTGCACTGTGTTTAATAATTACTAAACAATAGCAGAGTGGGGTGGTGAGTGAAGGCCCTCCTGTCCTAGTGCCCAGGCTCTATGGAGGGGCCCTGCCCAATATGGCAGGCAGGCTCAGGAGCTGAACATGACCCCAGGGAGCCTTGCTTTCGTAGGATCCTGGGCACCTCTCTGCTTCTTATCTACCCGGCACATTCGGCATTTAATACTCTGAACTGCTGCTCAGCTCCCCAGCTTTTCCCCTGCCCTCTTCTACTACTTGGCTCTCCGCTCCCCCCCAGCCCCCCCCCCACCCCTCCAGGCCAGGTCAGTCACCTTTTCCAGGCGGGTCTCCAGCTCCGACACCTCTGCTTCCACCAGCTCAATGGAGGCCCTGGGAGAGGAGGGATGGGGTCACAGACACAGAATTAAGATCTGGAGCAGGGCCATCTGTTTGTCACAACATGATTAGTGTGTGGGGCGTGGGGTGGTGGGTACAGACTGAGAAAACTGCTGGGCTGGGAGCCCCTTACCCTGCCCCTCTAGTCTGCCAAGTTTAGGAGCAACTGTAGGGAGTAAGGGGGGGGGTGCACAGCAGGAAGGGTAGAAGGAAGGTGGATGTGGCCAGGACAGGAAGTTGCTAACCGCCCCAGAGCAGGTGCTGGGGGAGGGGCAGGGGTCCTGGTGGGAGGGAGGAGGGGATGCCAGCTTGGAGGGGAGCTGAAGAGAAAGGCTGGAGAAGCTAGAGAGGGCTGACCAGGGGTAGAGACCATCGGATAGCCGTAGCTTCAATCCATTTGGGCCCATGGCTCTCTTGTGCCTTGGAGGCCTGCACCATGTTGGGAGATCTGACCCAAGGAAAGTCACGTATGTCGCGAGGTATAGAGGGTGGGTGGGTGTTGGACTTGCCCTTTCTTGGGCCCCTGCAAACCTCCAGCCACTTACCGGAAGCGAGGTGAATCCTTGAGACACTCCTCAAAGTCCAGCTTGACCGTCATCTTGGTTCAGCTACGCTGGGAGCCCAGGAGACGGGCAGGTAGGGATGTTGGCCGAAGCCCTAGCCACCCCAGGAGGGGCAACGAAGGCAGAAGAGGAGAGGGTCCTCTGTTGATGGGGCCTGGAGGTGCCCAAGGGAAAGGGGTGTCCTAGGAGGAGCTCTCTCCCCACACTTGCAGGCAGAACTATTAGGGTGGGGCCTAGGAGGGGGGAGGGAGCCCGAGATCAGAGAAGCCGCGGCCCCGCCCCAAGAGACTATGAGCTGTCGCCTTCCTCCTGGCACCCTGGCCTCTTTCTGCTTCGGTGAGCCTGGGGCCTCATTTCGGTTCCGCAGTGGCCTCTGTGACTGAGAAGCTGTGTGACCCTGGGCAGGTGCTGGGATCCCGCAGCTTGCTCATCAGGGAGATGGGAAGGATGCTGGAGAATGTATGGTTCACTCAGTCACAGACACTCCAGGCTGTTGCGTAAGCTGATACCCTGGGCTGCCCCGGTCACCTTCCCTGTGTGCATGCACCCCTTTCCTTTCCTTCCTCCATTCTCTAAGAGGAGCTGCACAGGCCTGGCCTGGCACCCCCAGTCACAGCACTCCAACTCCTGCTCTGCTCTTTATTATCTACCCTGGGCTGGGGCGGGATGAGGGGGTGCACCCCACCCCCAGACAGCCATGCTTTCCGCCATCAGATCTCTTCCTTCTGGGTCCAATGAATCCGTGCAGTTTCATCTGGAAAGAGAGAAGAGGCAGGGTTGGTAGATTGCCTGCAGCAGGCAGATTCTCTAGGACCCAGCCACTCTGCCTCTCTGTTTCCCCGGCCAGTACAGGCACCCCTTTGCCTCCGCCTGGGCTTACATTTATGCCTTCTGTGGCTGGAGGGGTCCAAGTGGCTTCCGCGTTCCTTCTTGGAGCTCCCCGGGCTTTGAGGGCTCAGCTCCTGGGCCCCAGGCCATTGAACCCAGTCTGGTACTTGTGACCTTCTCTCCTGGGATGATGTGGTGATTCCTGGAATGGGGTGGGTACAGTGGCACACAGAAGTTGAGTTGGAGGTGTGGAGTTTGCAGAGGAGGCCCAGCAGGAGAGGGTCCCCACCTCTTCTGGGCCTCTGTGAATACTGTGGGTCTTAGCCTCTGGGATGCTTAGGGATGCTCTTACCACCTGTTATTGTAGGATTGGGGATGGGGGGCTGGGAGACAGGAGTGTGTCACCTGGGAGATGGTGGCCTACTGTCCTCACCTGACTGGGAAGATATCACCATCATGGTCAGGGAATCCTCGGGCTGGCGATCACTTAAGGAACTGCTTGTAGAATCCAGCAGGCGAACCTCAGTGCTTAGGGGGCTCTCCCTCTGCCTGATCATGCCTGTTGAGCCTGGAAGCGTTACCAGATGTGGGGTAGGGTCTCCAGTGGGGGTGCCGGCTCCTACCCCTCCCACACCCAACACGGATCCATCCCGATTCTCACTGTCCTGCTGCTCGTCTTCCATGTCAAGCTCTGGATGGAAGTCAGATCTCAAGTATCTTCTTTGGCTGAAATACTCCTTGCGTCTTGGACCCATCCCCTGCTCCATAGTCACAGGACCCGAAGCTGGGACTGACCGATTTCCACAGGTAGAGTAGCCTGAGCAATTACCAAAGCAACCTGAGTCTTGTGGCCAACAGGTAGTCCCTGTCCCCCTGATGCGTCCCTGACTCCCAGGAGCATCCCTGTCCCCGGGAGTGTCCCTGTCCCATAGGTGCATCCCTGTCTTCTGGGTGTCCCTGTACCCCAGGAGCATCCCTGTTCCCCGGTGTTTCCCTGTCCCCCCCCCCAGGTGCATCCTGCCTCCAAATGTCCATTGTGGCCCGGCAGAGGGCAGAAGCCCAAGTCCCAGGTCCTCGCCCCATTTACTCCTCTGATCCCTCCCTTCAGTAGGCCCTCTATCTCCACCCACCCCAACCCCAGCCTTCTTGGTCTTCCAGGTCCCCAGCAGCTTGCCATTTCTGGGGGGCATCCTGAGCGAGGACCCTACTCTCTCTATCCTCTTGGAGTCAGCCACCTACCAGCATTTCCTCACCAGCAGGCAGCAAGGTTTTGGGCCAATTGTCCCCAGAGCAGACAGACTATAGCAGAGAAGTGAGGGGCAGGCCATGGGCCCTGTGCCCTTGAGTCCCTGGAGCTTGTCCTTTGTGGCTCCTGCTCACCTTTAACCCCAATGCTGGCTTGCTCTGCTGCCTCGCTTCTCTGCAAAGGTAGGGGCTCTGGGCTCAGTGTCACCTGATGTCCACTGCTGCTGACATTGGCACTGGGCCCCTGGCCGGCCATGTTGTCCTCCAAGGGCAGGTTTTTCTGAGGCTTTAAAGCCTTGCCTTCACTGTAGTGCATCTTGCGTTGCTGGGCAAAGTCCTTGGAGTCTGTGGGTCCGTGTGGGTGCATGGCTGTCCCAGCAGGCTCCGACAGCAGGCTCCCTGTGCCTTCCCTCCCACCCGGTCCCAGTCCTTGTCTTACATGGCTTGGAAACATCATCAGCAGGCCCTGGGCTCCTGTTATCACCATACTGGAGGACCTTGGGGAGCAAATTGTCCATTGTTGCAAACCTGAAGGGGAAGGAGAGTAGTTGGGGGCACCAAAGGCTGAGAATAACTGCGGTGTGTGTTGGGGGGATGGTGCTGGCTGATTGTTCACCATTATCACCACCTCATCGGTGCTGGCCAGGCCCAACAAGAATAGCAGCACCTTCCCAAATTTGGGGGATCAACAAGTACAATTCAGTGGTGATCTTGGGCAGGACTCTCACCTCTGCTCCAGCATATCAGGGGTCACCTTAGGGGAGGACCCCGCAGCCAGGTTCTCATCGCTGTCTTCCCTGCAGCAGAGGGGAAAGCAGCACTGGGAGGGAGGCACCAGGGGGTCACCAGCTGGAGGCTCCCCACACCCCAACCCCACCAGAGAGAGTGACCTGAGTGGACTGGGCTGCACTCAGCACCTGCGATAGGGAGTGCTGGGCTCGTCCACCTTCATGAAGCCATAGTCCTTGTCAGCAGGGTGGTAGGTGGCCCGGATGTTCATTTCATCCCAGTGCTGGGCCTTTCTGAGGGGATGGGCACAGAAAAAGAGGAAGAGATTTTCTAGAAATGGCCTTCCTTCAGAGCCCTCTCAGATGGGTAGATGGGGTCAGACCCAGAGATACGCAGTACTAACACAGCTGGGATGTGTGCGGCACCTCATCTCCTACTCATGGGCACCCACTTTGGTGGGTGGGCAGGGGAGGGAGGGCTGTTTCTTACTTCTCTGAACTGGGAGATCTCATCAAGTAGGGGCTGACTTTCAGAATGCCCCGGTGTTGGTCCACATTCAAGTCTTCAGAGTGCAAGTAAGTCGATCCTGAGCACGAACTGCTTTCTGAACTGTGCACCGCGGGGTTCCCGGGCCCCGGGCGGGATGCACTAGTTCCAGGCTGGGGGACGGGATACCCCGCCACACAGAGGGCACATCTGTGGCCTGGCACCTTCCCAGGGTGCTGACCGGCCCCAGAACTGAGGCCCCTTCCCCCCGACAAGGGCCGCCTTGACTCGGGACTGTACACGACAAAGGTCCCGGGGGGCTGAGGATGCTGAGAGCCTGCCTCGACTGTTCTGGCCCTGATGGTCCTGCCCGGAGACTCCCCGCCGAAGCGTCCGCCTGCTCCCAGCTTCTCCATGGCCCCACCAGGGGGCCACTGCCAGCCGCCGCGCCCCGCGCCGTCTCCCGGACCGCAGGCCCCGCCCCGGCCCCGCCCAGTAGGCGGGGAGCTCGTGGGCCCCGCCCCTGGGCCCGGCGGCCGCGGTGGGGGGCGGGGCCAGGGCCATGTTGCGGGCAGCCTCAGGCTGGGTACCCTCCGCTCGCCATTTCCCTTTTTGTCCAACCCAAAGCCTTTCTTTGTCTCTCTGTCCCTTGTTCCCGCCCGTCTCCATCACCGCCCTCATCCGAATCAGCCAATCAAACGCTTGCGGGCCTGGCTGGGGGAGGAGCTAGGAGTCTGGATTGTGACGTCACAGTCCGCCACCAGCACCAGGACCGGAGGGGCTCCCAGCGCCTCACCGGAAACAACGCGAACGGTCAACGTCCCTCCCCTGCCGTAAAGCAGGATGTCCAAGGTATGGCCTCCTTCAGGGGGCGGGGCCGGCAGTGCTATTGTCGCAAAGCCCCTGGGCCGTAAAGAGCCTATGGCCCCTAACTGTCGCAAAAGCGCCCTCCCCGAGTCCTCCCTCCGTTCCGAGCAGCTCGGTCATCACGCCTTGCCGTAAAGCAGCCCCTTTCCCCCCTGCCGACCCCGTTGTCCTTTCTGTTCCCCCCCACCCAATGTCCGCTGTTGCAGTCGCCAGTTCCCTTAGCCCGAGGTGCTTCACTGCCCGGCTGTGCCGTAAAGCATTCTTGGCCCCAGCCCCGGGTCGTATTCCCTCAGGGTGTCTGTCTCCCGCGGTTGCCACGGTGCCGCCAAGCGCGGCTGTCGCGCGGCCCCGGTGTCAGCGGCGATGGCGGCGGGGTCGGGTGGGAGCGGGGGCTCCGGGGGCGGCCCCGGGCCGGGGCCGGGCGGGGGTGGGGGTCCCGGCGGGAGCGGCCCGGGGCCGGGGTCCGGCGGGGCGGGTCTGAGCAGCGGCGGGGAGCTGCACCCGCGCACGGGGCGCCTGGTGAGCCTGTCGGCCTGTGGGCGAATAGCGCGGCGGCAGCAGCCGGGCCAGGAGTTTAACCACGGGCTGGTGTTGAGCCGAGAACCCCTGCGCGATGGCCGCGTCTTCACCGTCCGCATCGACCGCAAGGTGCGGGGCTGGGCGGGGGGCGTGTGGAGCGGGTGGAAGGGCGGGACTGGGCAGCCCTCCGTTGCTGGGTCCCGAGAGGGGAAACCGGAGACTTGCCCAGGGTGGTGGGCAGGAGCGTCCCGGGTGAAAGGTGCCAGGGGGGCTGGGTGCCCTGCTGAAGAGAAGCAGAGGAGGGACGTGGGTGGGGAGCGGCTTTCCTGCAGCTGGAGGATGCAGATTTGGGCTGGGAAGGGAGCGAAGGGCCGAGGGGTGGCCAGCAAGGCGTCACGGGAGGGGCGTGTGTGTGAGGCCAGGCCCTTGGGTTTGGGAAGAGAGTGGTTCTGGGCGGGGCTGGAACTTTGACAGATCAGAGGGAAGCCAGTGAGAAGGAGCAGTGACAGGTGTGGGAGGACAGGGCTCCTGGGGAAGCTGGAGGAGGCAGGGTGCCTGGTGGGGCGTGGGGAAAGGGAGAGCGGTGCTGGGTGCTGCAGTTCACCCCGACTCTAACAATTACCCGGGGCAGAGTCTAGGAAATGGGGGTGGGCTTGAGTGTCTGGGTTAGCTTCAGTGTCAGTGGCTCATAGGGATGTGGGGACTCAGTGATGGCTGGCCCTGAGCCTCTCTCCACCACCCCTGTCACGTACAGGTCAACTCCTGGAGCGGCTCCATTGAGATTGGGGTGACAGCGCTGGACCCCAGTGTACTGGACTTTCCAAGCAGCGCCACGGGACTAAAGGGGGGATCATGGGTGGTGTCGGGCTGCTCGGTGCTGAGGGACGGACGCTCAGTGCTGGAGGAGTACGGCCAGGACCTGGACCAGCTTGGCGAGGGGGACCGTGTGGGCGTGGAGCGCACAGCCGCTGGGGAACTGCGGCTCTGGGTGAATGGTCGGGACTGTGGTGTGGCCGCCACAGGCCTGCCTGCCCGAGTCTGGGCTGTCGTGGACCTTTATGGCAAGTGTACACAGATCACCGTGCTGCCCCCGGAGCCAGGCTTCTGTCCCCCAGTGCCCCTGCCCACCCCTCCACTCGAGCCATCGGCTGAACAGGGGACATCTGGGGAAGAAGGTGAGGACCTAGCCAGGGCTAAGGCAGAGGGATGGGGCCGTGGAGACAGGGTGGAAGGGAGGTACCCAGCAGTTACAGGACAAGCGGGGTGTGGGCAGGGCCAGTCCCAATCCCCAAGTCTGTTGACAGGGCTAGCAGGTGCTGTGGGCCCTGGAGCAGGAACTGAATGCTTATTCCCCTCCCCATCCTACCTGGTCCCCAGCCTTCATGGTATCTCCAGCACAGGCCCGGCCGGAGACGTTTCCTAACAGCCTTGACTCGCACAATGGTGAGGGAGTTGGGGGAGGTCCTGGGAAGGGGAGTGGGCAGCAAGGTGGAGCAGGGAGGGGCCCCTGAAGAGGTCCAGGGCCAGGAGGGCAGCAGCCCTGAGGGTGTGTCCTGCTGCTGCAGATTTGGCCAGCATGGAGCTGTCGGAGGTGGTGAGTAACACCATCCTGTCTGCCTACGATGGGGGGCTCCTGAACGTGAGCCTGAGCTCCCCGCCGGCCGGGGATGGACCGGCAGCCGGCGCTGCTGCCACCTCACCTGTACTCACGTCCAATGACGCCCTGCTCTTCCACGAGAAATGTGGCACCCTCATCAAACTCAGCAACAACAACAAGACGGCAGAGCGGCGGCGGCCCCTGGATGAGTTCAACAATGGCGTTGTCATGACCAACCGACCACTGCGGGACAATGAAATGTTTGAGGTGTGTGCCTGTATGATGCCTAGCTTTCTTGGAACTGCTGATCGGGGTGCTGGGATGCCTGGAAGAGGGCCCTCCTGTGTTTATGTTCCTTGGTCTCCCTTTTACCCATCTCATCATGGCCCCAGATCCGCATCGACAAGCTTGTCGACAAGTGGTCAGGATCCATCGAGATCGGGGTGACCACGCACAACCCCAATAGTCTGGAGTACCCAGCCACCATGACCAACCTCCAGTCAGGTAGCAGCCCTGGGCAGGGTTGCAGGCGCAGGCCTGGGCTTCCCTAAGGATAGCCTGTGTTGTAACCAGGGTGGCACTACTTCCTCCAGGCACCATCATGATGAGCGGCTGTGGGATCCTGACCAATGGCAAGGGCACACGGCGCGAGTACTGTGAGTTCAGCCTGGATGAGCTGCAGGTGAGAGCGCAGAACCTCCGGCACTCTCCAAGGCACACAGGCATCCCACATCTTTGGCCAGCCACCTGGCAAGGGGCTCCTCGGGCCCAGAGCCATTGCCTTTCTGTTCTGCCAGAGGATGTCCTAGCAGCCTCTACTATGAGCCATCCAGAATGCTTTCTGGATGCAGACTTGTAGGAGTTGGCCCCTGTACATGGTTGCACTCCATGTCCGACTCGCATGGAATGTTCAGGACTTGCAAGAGTGTTCATGTCCGCATGTGGCAGACAGGGCGCCAGAACTTGTCCTCCAGCAGGATCTGACACCAGCACAGATGTCTTTGGCAGCTGCCATCCTGTGCAGTGGTTGGTGGCCAACTGGGATTCAATTCCAGACTCAGCTGCTTTTCTGCTCCAAGCAGGAAGGTGACCACATCGGCCTCACAAGGAAGTCCAACTCTGCCCTGCACTTCTTCATCAATGGCATTGACCAGGGTGAGGAGGTGCTCCCATGGGCGCTGTGGCCAGAGCTTTCCATGAGAGAGGAAGCCTGGGGTCGGGGACCCCACGGCTGACTCTCCCTGCCCTCCCAACCCTCATTCTTCACCACCACAGGTGTGGCCACCCCCCTAACACCTCCAGTGGTGTATGGGGTGGTGGACTTGTACGGGATGGCAGTGAAGGTGACCATCGTCCACAATAACAACCACAGTGACCGTTTGCGCCGCAACAATGCCATCCTACGGGCACTGTCCCCTGAGGGCGCCCTCCGGCGAGCCGCCCCTGCAACCCAGGCAGAACCCGAGCGCCTGCTCTTCCACCCCAACTGTGGACAGAAGGCTGCCATCACCCACGAGGGACGCACAGCCCTGAGACCCCAGTACGGCCCGTGGGAGAAACCTGCAGAAGGGGCTGTGATGGGATGGGTGGGCTGGGAGCCGGGTGGGGAGCAGGAGCAGGGGTGGTTGAGACGTAGGAGGCAGAGAGAGTCAGCTCTGGGGAGTCTTGGATGGAAAAGGGGATCAGGAGGTTTTAGCTGGTCAACCAGGGCTTGAGTGTTGGGATCCGACTCTCCATGTGCTTTCGCTCAGTGCCACTGATGACTTTAACCACGGCGTGGTGCTGAGCAGCCGAGCCCTGCGGGACGGGGAGGTGTTCCAGGTACGCATTGACAAGATGGTGGACAAGTGGGCTGGCTCCATCGAGATCGGCGTCACCACACACAACCCTGCCTACCTCCAGTTACCCTCCACCATGACCAACTTGCGCTCTGGTGAGCTGCCCCAAAAGGGAAGGGCTAGGATGGGGTCTCCCAGCTCTCATTCTCTCCCAGATGTCTGGGCAGTGCCAGATGGGCAGGACTGAGCTGTTGGTGCTGCCCGGGGAAGACAGCTGCTGTTGGGAGAAAGGCAGAGTTGACTTTGAGCTTGAGGAGTTCACTGAGGGGCTGCCATGCAAGGGAAAGGGGCTGTTCCTTTCCTCTCGTATCCTCTGCCACATCTTATCCCCACCCCCACCCCAGGGACCTGGATGATGACTGGCAACGGTGTGATGCACAATGGGACAACTATCCTGGACGAATATGGGCACAACCTGGACCGCCTCAAGGTGGGGAAGTGAAGGTCCCGGCCGGGCATGGCAGTGAGGGAGGTGGCCGGGGGGCTGATGCAGGACCAAGCCAGGCAGGAGCTCTGCCTGACTCCTCACTCCAGCCCCCCTTTTTCCAAGGCAGGGGACACGGTGGGC